AAATCGTACTGTAAACAAAAATTTCGAACTCATGAAGGTGGATGAAAATCCTGAGCTTCGAAATGCTAAAAACTTGAATTCAAATTTATTTTCGTTGTAGAATTATTTCAAAAACAGTGATCGACACTATGTTTTCCAAAGAGATAGTAACTGATTTATGAGGCACATGTTTCTATTTTTCGTAGATATTAGAGTCAGCATTCTCCCAAAACCCATATCCTGATCCACGAAAGCGTGAAGAATTATCTCAAATATGTAATTTATCGCGACGAAATCTGAATAACGAACGAGAAATAGTTACGGAACAAATCATTACGCATTGGTTTCAAAATAAACGACGATTAATGAAAAAAGGTAGACATTTCTCGTTTTCCATTTTAATTATTTATCTGACAGATTTTCTTAGCTCTTTGCCGTGATTTATGTGATGGTTCAATAAACTTTGAAGAATCAATGACGATAAAAAGTGTCCGTGATATCGATTGTCAATCAGTGGATGGAAACGAGTCAATTTGATCAGTAGAAAATGAACTGAATTAGTTTTTTATCAGCATACAATGTGAGCACTTTTTTTTTGTGCTTCTAAAGCTTCACTTCGGGCAACGACTATTTCCCGTTTTTTTTCTAAAAAGACTCCTTTATGAGTAAAGATCTTTCTTTCAATATACCGTTACTCTATAAAACATGTGAAAAATGGATACTACTCATTCGTCAATCAGTCAGGCAAAAACAGGAGATAATATCACAGTGGTTATATGTGTGCATATTTTTGGTGATCTTTGTTCGTTTTTGATAAATTTTTACTTAGTTAATATACAATAAAAAAATGTATTTTTTTTTGATCATTTCTACAATACAGCAAGAGTCCATAAAGTCTTGTCTATAGATATAAATTATATATATAAAATCATTCAATTTCTGAATATCTCTGGAGAACCAGTAGAAAAACATATATATTCTTAGACTGTTTAACTTAAAATTTCCAAAATCCTAGCTGATTTTTCAAACATCCTTTTAGAATCGAAGATTGAAGGACGATTTGTTTAACTTTTGTTTTCATGATAGGACGTACTCCAATGTAAGTTATAGGATGATGAAAAATGAAATGCTCTCTACTTGTTACTCGCTATATACAATCTCAGACATAATCGAGACCATGGTTTTAATGAACGAACAATAACATCAGTATACTGAATATAATGAGTCTTCCATATTGAGACCACTTTTATCATAAAAGTGATCTCAGTTAGTAAATTTTAACTAACATTAAACAAATATCAGAGGACGGCAAGCCAAGTAAGAATGAGGGAGAAAAATAGCGGTCTCAATTAAGAAGTAGCCCAAATCTAATAGTATATATAAATAAGAATTTCTATTGTGATTAAGCGTCAATTATAGTGTTTAGCTGTAAATTATTTATTAGAAATAATCTTTTAAATTGACGTAAAAACAAAGCTAGCAAAGTATACCATCAAATGGTAGAAAAAATAATTAATAAAGTTAGAATTTCTACGAAATCTTGATAAAAGATTTCTCCTGATTAGTATATGTTTTAGTTGAATTGATTCACATTAAAAGCTTTTTTAAAAATAAAAAAAAAAAATAAAGAATGACGAAAGATAATTTGAGCATCTAGAAAAGAGAATGACTTAATACACACATTTGACTACTCTTGTGCAAGTTGCATAATTTGAAATTCTAATGATAAATTAAGAGCCGTTTTTGTACATTCGTAAATGAAACGATATTGTTCTTGTGTTTGAATAAAACCTGAACGTTGTAAACGACACTGTTTTCCTAGATTATAAATATTAATCGTTTGTCCTCGTATCATATGCGAAAGTGTTAAACTAATCATTAGAGCACAACTTGTTCGTCCAATACCCGTATTACAATGGATTAGTAGTGGTGATTCTGTCACCTGATATGAATGACCCAAATGAATAAATTGTAAAAATGTATGAATACTATCAAATGGTACATTATCTTCTGTCCATTGAGTATACGTTAAAAATATGAGACGATGTTCAACACCATTATATCCTAATACAAATTCTTTAACGTTAATATCTTGAAAATGACGTTCTTTAATCAAAGATACGGACAATCTAAACAAATGAGAACAATTTATTAAAATACAAATAAAAAAAAAGACATTCTTTCAACATACTGTGGAGACAATGTCATGGTTTCTTTAAGTTCAGTCGGATAATAAGATGGACATTTCATTTTTTTTAAATCTTGATCACGAAATATTCCTAATATACATTTAACTTTTTGTTCAACAATCATTTGCCAAAAATCGTCTAAAGATAATTTTTGATTTAATAATTAAAGTTATTATCAAATTGTTGATACTTACGAACACTTTCGGGAACAGGTGGTGGACATACAATATATTTCATTGATTGTACACCAATGGGTATAGATAAATGACTAGCATTAATATAATCTGGTTTTATTGACAATAATTTTACACGATTATAATCATATGGTATCACATTTTTGAAACGATTTTTTATTTTATTTTCAGGTAAAAGAGCGACGGAGGATAATTCAGGATCATCATTATCATTTAACATTTTTAATGCCTAGAATTTAAATAATAAAATAATATTTAAATATAGCTAAAATTATTTCTTACTTTAAATTCTTCAATATATTCTTGTGAATCAATTTTTAATTCAATTTCACGATGTTCATCCATAAGTGACGATGTATCCATTGTAACTGCTGGTGTACTTATTTTATTGATTTTTTGAGGTGTTAAATCTTCTACTCTTTCAGCTACTCCAGCATTCAGTAACAATATTTCATTCGTCGTGGCTTGCTAAATGAACAAAAGAACGTATATATCCATGAACGTAACTTAATAAAGATGTTCATCCTATAAAATAATTTTGATATCCTAATGCTGTTAAACATGCGTTTAAAAAACTAACAATTTCATACATGCGCACAAGCTCGGTACACTTGAATGTGTGCCAGAGCCCTGCAGGTTGATCCTAACCTAACCTAACCTAACCTAACCTAACGTTAGGATTAGGTTGCAAAAGCTATAGATTAGGTTTGGATTAGGTTGCAAAAGTTATAGGGTAGATTAGGTTATAGGTTGTTCTATTTTTTTTTCAATGGTTAGGTTAGGATTAGGTTGTCGAATCCATAGGTTAGGTTAGGATTAGGTTGTGAAATTTTTTATAGGTTAGGTTATAGGTTGCCAAATATTGGCAACCTGCAGGGCTCTGATGTGTGCCAAGATTATCAATGACATAGCAGAGAGAAAAAAATATTGTCATATAACATGGTCACAGGTGAACGCGAATAAACACGTCAGACGTGGACGGACAGGGTAACCTTGCTCATACAGATCTTCCCAATCTGTTTCCTTTTCAGTCATTTTTATTCTGTGATTTTAGATAGCAAGCCATATTTGTGGACGTATATTATTGATTTTCGATAAATTCATACACTTTGACATCGTACAAAATGTAACGAATTTAAATACATCAATGTTTAAGAGGAGTGTGATTCATACGGATTCAAATCCGTTAAAAGTAACGTCGTCAGGTTAAACTGGTTAACATTCGCTAGCAAAACATTAACGCAGGTGAACTCGTTAAATTTTTCATATTTAAAGGGATCTAAAGGGATCTAACCTGTTATCACTTATTATTTGAACATATAATTCGTTCAAAAGGCATTTTTTTTGAAAACGCTAAATAATCTATGTTAGAGTATCAAAATTATTTCATGGAAAATCAATAGATTGATAAATTACCTGAAAAAAATTCATTCGTTCTTGATTATCATTTGTCGACTTAACATTAGCTAAACAGCACAAAATTGACAATTATTTCTCTTATATAATTTCTATTGTAAGAAAATCGCCTACATGTTGTGTTCACTTGATCTTTTTTCGGCGGTGGTAAATCAAGTTCTTGTTGAATAAATTTTGATTCTGTCGGTGTTCGTGGAGATATTGGTGGTGTTTTAATATCACTTATATCATCGTCTGTATCCGCAGTTGGCAATGGTTGTTCTTTTGGTTCATTATTCTCAATTGATTTTGTTGGTGGTTCTACTATCTCATTATCATGATGAGATGATATTATTTCACTTTTTTTCTCTTCTATACCCGCAGTCGATGATGAACTTTCAATAGAATCAGGTGAAATAACATGTTGAATTGGAAGTTTTAATTCATTATTTGCATCCGATAGTTTTGAATTACGACGAGGCATTGTCGAAACAAACATGTTAGTAATATTTGCAGTATTAGAAACAATATGCGCCAATTCTTCTTTAACATTTGGTTGATTTAACTCTTGATTATCTGTTGATCTATTAAAAAGTCAAATTAAAGGAGTTTAGAATGATTCAGATTACAAAATATATATTTTATACCTCGCCACAAGTAGATCAACACCTTTTTTTGTCGATATTTTTAATGTTTCAACAACCTCACGATAAGTCATATGTTCTACACTTTTTCCATTTATTAATAGAATACGATCGTCAGTCTTTAAACGACCATCTTTTAAAGCAACACTGTTTGGTTGTAAAGCACAAATATAAATTCCACCGTATGCTTGTTGAGGATCAATTTGATTTAATCCAATGCCATAGGTGCCTTGTGGTGCTTTTGGTAATGTTATGAGAATTTTTTCATAAAGCTTAAAAATAAAACAAAAAAGAGTTAAATTGAAAAAGAACGATTGAATATTAAACATAGCCTACCGATGTATCATTAATTGAATCGTGCCGTTTTATCGTTGGTGGAGAGATTGCTATTTTTTCGTTTTGTTCATTAATTATTGTTTGATTCTAGAAATAAAAATATGTTGTAAATATACAGAAAATAGTACAGGAGAATAAGAATATATTCACTCAGAAATTAAACTAAAATTTGTTAATTAGATCTTTGATATATGTGAAAAAAATCAAATCAAAATTGAGATTAGTAAAAATAGTATGTAACAAAGCAAGAATAAAGACGAAAAAAAATATGTGTAAATAAATTGATTTTCATGCATATAAACAAGATACTAATTGCGTCGAGTAGTTGATAATATTGATCATACAAAAGTAATAGAATAATCAGATATAATTGCGAAGCAAAATCATATGTGGCGAACATGTTTAGAATAAATATCACTCAGTGAGAAAATAAATGATGATCATTTCAATATTGTTTTATCTTTCAACTATACTCACACTAACAATATCAACCATTGAAAAATTTAAAAATGAAGATTCTTGTTGTTTTTGTCGAGAACGTTCTTTTGCTGTAACAATTTCCTCTATATTTGGACGATAGATATGTAGATGAACGGGACCTGCTGCTGCATATCGTAAACGAGCAACAAGATCACGATGTGTAATTGTTAAACAATTATGACCATTTATAGAAACAATACGATCCCAATGTTTCAATCCGCCAGATAATGCTGGCTCTTTGACAACCGAACGAATGTGAGAAAAGCCAATTGATGATTGTCCACTGGATAAAGTGAAGCCAAGACCGCTATCAGAAGTTTTATGTAAAATAATGGAAAATACCTGTGAAGAACAGGTGGTATTCTGTTATTTTTTAGTTCAATTAGATTGAGGAAAAGATTTAGTAAAATCATCTTCAAAAATTGTTTGTATCTGTATTGTTCCCAATAAATAAAAGTACATGCAAACTTTAAGAAAAGCCTGATGATATCTCAGTTGCTTATCTTTTTTGCATCGGTGAATATCTAGCATGATGTTCAGTTCTAAGTTTTAGCCGTGCAAAAACGAAATAGTTTTAAAACATTTCTCTATGTTTCCATTCATTGACCACTTATTATCTTTTATAGTGAAGAATTATTTTACCTCTCCTCTTTTTGGTTTGGTTTTTGGTAATACAGGTGTTATTCTTCTTGTACTTGGTGATTTTGGTGGCAAATCTCGAGGTAACTTTGATTCATTTGGAACGAGCGTTGGACTTCTAGAAGATATATCTAGCCCTGAGTGTGTTATTGATGGTTTCAGATATTGATTAATATCCATCTGCTGGTTCTGCTTCTTCAAAAATAAAAAAATAGATTAAACTAAAGCTTAGAAATATGTTCATATTTTGTTTCTAACTTACAATGTACGACCGATATTCATTTGGATCGGGTCGACAAACAACAAGTTTAACAGTTTGTTGTGGGGATTCGTTAATAATAGTTGGTACATCATGTACATTACGATTATGCATAAGAATATCATTAATTTGTAATAAAATATCACCTTCATTTAATTTTCCTGAAGCTGCTGCTGATTGATTTGGATATATTTCAACAATTTCAATTGGCTTATTTTCTCCACTACCACCAGCTAGACTTAAGCCCAAACCCAAATGACTACGCTGAAGAATAACTTCAAATGTATTATCTGAAAATAACAAATGAAATATAGAAATGACATAGAATAGATCTTTTGCTATTTACCAGGTCGTGAAAACGGATAATAGAGTAAAGGTATATGTCGTTGTGGTAATGGACTTTTACGAACTATTGATGGAAATACGTATCGTTGTACGAGTAAATGACATTTTGTTGAACTTTTACGAAATACATCAACAGCTTCTGAATGACTAACACTGTATAATGGAATCCCATTGACTTCCAATATCTTATCACCTAAATAGAAGAGATGTTTTCAACTCCATTCACATTAGTTTTACGTTATTACCTTCCAAAAGTGATTTTGATTCTTCTGCTGCACCATTTGGAGTTATAGTTTTGATGTAAATTCCGTGGTCTTCAATCTCTGAATCAATGCCACCCTACACTCAATTGTATATAGATTGAGAGTTACATGTGAATTTGTCATGAGTGAATATATACTCACTACAACGTGAAATCCAAGACTATTATTAATTTTTTCAATTGTAACAGTGAACACTGTACTGGTTATATCATAAGAATTAGATAAATCTGATACATGAGTTTGAATACTTTCGTTTGAAACTACTCGTGGTACTCGAAATGAATTATCGTTTGACCACGATACCTAAACAATATGTAATATTGAGGAACTTGCAGAATATTACTCTTATGTAATAGAAAACTCACTCGCTGTTTCGGACTGTGACTCTCATTTAACACACTGTTACGTTCATTACTAACTGAACGTTGATGAACAGTTGTTCCATTTGGTTTGTTTTCTCGAGACATTATCAGGGTGACTGGATTTTGTGACGCAGATAGACGATTCGCAACATCATGCACAGTTAAACCATTGACACTTCGACCATTATATAAGATTAAACGATCGCCTATAATATCGATGTTGTCATAATTTAAATAATAACAAGAAATAAGAGGTGTTACCAATTTGCATCTGGCCAGATTTTGCTGCACTACCATCAGTTTGTAAAGATTTGATAAAAATGCCATATTCTGGTTGACCCATGAGTGCCATTCCCAGGCTATTATTTTGATCTTTATATAATTCCACTTCGTATCGGCGTGTTGTACCATTTGTTGTTGGACTAGAAAAGACAAAAGGTGTTTTATACATCGATCTCTAAAGTATTGAGCTGGTGTCATACTTTTCAGTAAAACCATTATGTACATCAAAATTGTCCTGTGATTGTGACCGTCTGTCAAATGACTGTACTAGGAATGAAAATGATTATTATGAAACAAGTTTTCTCATAAAAGTACTATCCATTTCAAAGTATAGCGGCGACAGATTCGGAATAATTGTTCAGAGGAAAGAGGCCAGCACTTTTATACTGGCAAGACTTAACCCTTTACCCTCGGAGGGGATTTTTTTGAAGATCCAGGAAAGACTACTACTAAAGGGGACTTCTTGAGTGCTCACTATGCCCATTTCATACTTAAAATAAAATGAAGTTGCCTGGGTGACAAACACAGAACGTCACAAGCGTGGACATTAGAGACGAACAACATGAAAAACTCAATGTGTTGTCAAAATTCAACATTTTGACAAAAACAAGATCATACTCGGAATCAGAATCCAAAACTGGGTCAGATGACATAGGTCTCAAGATTTCGAGAATATTTGGAGTTTGAGTGAACATTCTGGTTTTGGATTTTTGAAAAACAGGCAAAAACGTCGAGACCCAGGCCATTTGACCCTGTTTTTGATCCTGATTCCAAATATGATCCTGTTTTTGTCAAAATGTTAAATTGTGACCTGTAAAATGGCAAGGTACAGGTTCAATTTCAAAGAGTTTTTCAGTGAATTCATAAAAATTGAATTTTTGGATAACGAAGTAAAATTTTTCATTATCGATATATACTTTTTTCTCTTATAAGTATATCAGTTGGAATGAAGTATGAAAGAAAATTTTATCTTCCAAATTCTAGAACTAGACAGGTTTGCAAGATTGCCCAGTGGGCCTTTTACTATCCTACCCGTCTTCAACGGTTCTTGAAGTCAATTCGAGTTTTAAAATTTCCTAAATTCATTTTCTATACTCAGTTTTTGATGGAGTGTAAGAAAAAAGTTGTTTTGGAATTTTAAAAATAGAATGAATGGTTGAATTTTGATTTTTATTCGAAATTTCGCCTATTTTCACCTATTCTTGAAAAATCGATATTTAAAATGTTTTTAAGTGAAAAATATGTTCCAAAATTGTGGGATTGAGATTCTTCTGTGCAACGCAATTTACTTTATCCAACCATGGCAAAAAAACGAAAAACAACATTGTTCACTTACAAGAAAAGGAGCGAAAGAAGGAATGTGTATATGTTTAAAAATGAGTACCTTCCATATCACTCCCTAAAGTTTACAGGTGCAGACATTTCATTACTGGACATGGTGCTTCAAAGCGACTAGACAGAAAATTTCTTTTCCTGTATAATTATAGAAAGGATCCTTATAGCAATAGTAATCAACCAGTACATTTAAAAACCTTTGTGTGGTTAAATCTATGGAAAAAGTTGTTAAAAAACTTCAATAATTTGCAGCTCTTTAGTTTTAAAAGTTAACTACCTCGGTCAAGATCTGTGCAATGAAAAATTTTTTACCAATCGAGAGCAGGTGAAGTCTTGTTGAAACAAAATCCAGTTTTGATACAATCGTTCGTTATTTCTGTATATCGATTTTATCAATGTCCACGCTTGTGGACATTCGGGAGTAAAGGGTTAATCACATAAACGTATACACCTGTCAGATGATGTATCTCATTACTCTCTGAAAGAATATGTTATCATTTAAAGAAGATCGAGCTCGTTTTTAACTCTAATAATATATAATAATAGTCTCTTCTTTACATATTCAGCTAAATCTGAACTCTTTATCATAATCTTCCTCGCATGACATCACTTTTTCTGAAAGATCTATGCTTTGATCTGAACTCGTCGAAGTAATTTCGACAACAGATGAACATAGTTTAACAGAATCAAGCTACCCAGCTGTGGAAAACGGATTAATCAGTGGATAGATAAGCTAATTTTAGAAATCCGCGCATAATAGTACATGAGCTTTGTCTGTCCGAATCTTCACAAGTAAAGTCATATAAGTTTATTAGACCGAGATCTATGCTACACAACACTGATTGCTGACTAGTGGAAGCTTGAAATATCATCAAAGCTCCGAGCCTAAAATAAAAATGAATTCAAAATCTTCGTGTAATCTATAATAATTTACAACAGATAAAATATTGACTTTGAACTCAGAAGAAATCTACAGCCTCTATATTTTGAAATGGATATAGACTCATTACAAACTTACGATATTGTTTTGTTCAATAATACTGTCTGCATCTGATCCATTCATTATAAATTCAACTAAAACACAGAGAAAAATCTATTTAAAGGATAGATGATTAAAATTTCATTTCCTACTTTCTGATATTGGTTCATTCAATCGACTGTAACGACTGCGACTTCTTAACGTAATAGATTTTGTGTAGTTATACATGTCAGAGCACAATTCAACAAGATATTTTCCCCTATAATTATTTAATCGATAGTGTATACTTCGGCAGAGAGAAGACACATTTTACTAACTTTTTACTATTATTTGTCAAATATTTTATTTTCTCACGATTATTCTTTCGTGTTATAATAAACTGTTTTTTATCATGAAATATACGTTCAATTTGTTCCCAATCAAAATGCATTCGATATGAGCGTTCACGATTTCTTAATTGCCAATATTTTATATCATCCAATCGGATGCCGACAACATATGTATCATCTTTTTTCGTATCTTTATACAGCTTGTACATATGATAGCCGTAATCATCTTAAAATGAAATAGTAGGCAGAATTAGCGAAATAAATATATTATTTGAACGTTACCGACATAGTCACTTACCAAGCTTCATGACATCGTCTACAAATTTTCTTTCGGCATGCACATCATTATATTCGACATAATTTAAGTATTTCTCAATAATTAGGTCACGTAATCGAGGAATACCAAACTTTGAAACAAAAATTATTTACAACGTAAGTTTAGCGATAAAACAAGAATATTCATTTACTTCATTAATTAGATCACTTGATGCATAATGTTCAACCATAAATGCATCTTGAGCACTATACTGTTGCTGCTGTCCACTATTACCATATTCCGCTTGAAATGCCAACGCTGAAAAAGCTAATTTTTCGTCACTCGATATTTGGAACGAGTCGGTAAGTAACATTTGACGAAATTGAAGATAGAAAAAATGTTGTGTTAAAAAATGTCTAGAACAACATAAAAAGTAAAAAATAAACATAATTTAAAAAGACATATGATAAAATTGTTGACTTGTACCTCAATAAACTGATGTCAGTAACAAAATATTTGATTTTTAATTGCATAACAAATGTGGCTAGACCATTTTTCCATTTTGAATCATTCAATAATTTTGAAATTTTGAGATCTAGCGGAGGAAAACAATGTTCACCATCTGTAAAAAAGAAAATAAGTCATGAAATCGTTATTTAATAGAAAGCAGAGACATTTACCAATTAAGATGGTTAAACCAAACAGACTATTTTCTATTAAATCGGCATAGGTTACAACTGTATCGAATATTACACGTACAGTCGCATCGTTTTTACAGCCAACTTGTACACGAGCATTATTAGGTAGCAAAACAATGACTTGACATATATTATCGGTTGCATTCTATACATAAGCAAATCAAAGAGGGCTTTAAATAAAAGTATTATGAAATTCAATTACTTTTGTTGGCACGGCAATTCGTTCCGCTTTACTGTCACGTTTGACAACAAACTCGGGACCAGATTGTTTCTAAACACATTTAAAACAGAAACTTGACTTCATTCACCTGAGTAAAAAATTTGTGTTTACAGCTAATCGAATTTTTCTCAAAATAATTTAGTTTTTCTATAGGGATTTAGTATTTTTACTGTAGGTGTCATATAGATAATGTGCTTGCTGTTGTTGGACTGATGCATCATATAGAATTACACGTGAGTTGAGACTTCCTATGTAGATAATATATCAAATATATCACAGTTTTTAATAATGAAAATATAGTTAAATTCCAGCAAGTACGCTTGTCGAATAATAGAAGGCATAAGAGGACAGTAGTAGTACACCAGCAACAGAAAGTTGAACAGATCAATACAGAGACCAATAAAACTAGCACACAGATCGTAGAATCTCTGCTACGAGTTTTCGTATAATTTCTACCAGCAGAAGTGTTCGAAAACTTTCGTACCCGACTTTCCGTTAGCAAGATCCTAACTTCGATTGCTTCTAAATAAAACTATAATTTTTAAAGTATATTATTCACACATTTAACTCACATAATGTTGATTGTTAACAACAATATGATAACTGACTCCCAAATCCTCCTCAAGAAAAAGCCCTTTCCCCTATACTTCATCTTCATTAAAAGCATCCATATCAAAGTCGAATTTTTTTCTGTTTAGCAACGGGTGTCCCAGAATAAATGAGCCTCTCAGTATTTTGCTTATAACTTGGTTTGGATTTGTTTCCGAGACTCGATGTTTTTCTTAAAAGATGTGCTGCAAAATACTCTACAAAATCACACCTAAACTATAATTTCAGAACTTCAATCAAGAAAACTAAGCCAATTAGATGAAAGTAGAACAAAATGAAAACTTTCCAAACTCAGAATTTTTTTCTATTTGAGCTTTTTCTCCTGCTACTATGTCCGCTAAAAAGTGTAGCAAAAGTGCGAACTCAGTTTGTGTTTAGTACTTTCAAATGTGCTCTTTCCGTGGTCTGTAACAAATTTTTTTACAGTTGATGGTGTGCTGGAGAACGAAGTTACAAAAATACGTCAAAAGTTGACAATCTCCCCGTTTCCAGCAATGCGCTCAAGCAGGATACGGAAAACATGATCGAAGTTTTGATTTTGCAGTTAGATAGAGAAGAGCAATCATTTCTGATCAAAATAAAACAAACCCGACCGAAAAAGCTTTTATTTTGATAGAGTTATGGGACTCTTACTCAAAGCACTACTATATCCAAAATTTAAAAAATTAATGAAAAAATGTATGACAACCAACAGAAAAACTATTATTTCATCGTGGCTTTTGATGTGAAAAAATTTGAAGTGTAGTAAACAGATAGAGCGAAGTCAGGGTTACAAAATGGCCAATTCAGTTTTTCTTACTTTCAAAATGTTAACACAAGAAATCATTTTTGAATTTGGAAGATTTTCATTTTTTTTCGACTTTCATCTAATTGGCTTAGTTTTCTTGATTGAAGTTCTGAAATTATAGTTTAGGTGTGATTTTGTAGAGTATTTTGCAGCACATCTTTTAAGAAAAACATTGAGTTTCGGAAACAAATCCAAACCAAGTTATAAGCAAAATACTGAGAGGCTCATTTATTCTGAGACATCCGTTAGAATCTCTATAGAAAAAGAAAACTTCCATGGGAAAGCAACACAAATGTAAATATCCCAATGGTGTAAAATAATGAGCATGTAGGAAAAATAAAGTTTGCTGTGTATGCAAATTTTCTATCCTATAAATCATACATTAAAATTCGAAAGGCTAGACAAAGCAAATAACACTTTTATAACTCTACATTCAGTTTCTTTCTGTGCCAAAATCAATTATTCGTCAAACCATCAAAAAATTTTATCAGTACCTCACCATCACCTTAAACTACTCTACAATAACTAAATTTGCTACAAAAGAACTTATTTATTGTACCGTTATACTTTGATGATCCTACAAATCATCGCATGTTATTTGAAAACTGAGAACGATGAATTCATACATATTTCCTCTGTACATGGAAACTAATCTAATTTAAGAAATAAAAAATTCTTCCCACTTACTCGAAATAAAGACTTTGGCCGTCGTTTTCTATATACCGAACTCGTAAGAGATGCATTTAAATCAAATATAGACGAATGGTTTGTTGTATCGAATCTAAAATAGACATTGTCGTTCATTCATCTATTCGAGCGATTTAATCTTCTAATTATTTACCCATCACGGCAAACAGTTTATTTCCAAATCTACCTCCTTTTTGTTAACCTTTTTCACTGTAAAAAAGAATGTACTGCTTTCAGCTTGTGTTGTATCAGACGATACATGTAAAATAGACATGGGCACATCTATAAATGTTATCACGACGCTATATGACATACTCTGAAATGTGTTATACCAACAAGTATCGTATAGCAGGTCACTATTATAGTGCCTCTGCAAAAGACATATTTATTGTACTCTACAATGTGACTTCGATAGAATGTACCTTGTATACCTCAACGCATTCTAATGTGTCATGATCTCTTTTCATTCATCTCTTTGCGTTACGACAATACGTCTATATAATAAACTCGATATTTTAGAAAGTTGAACATTATTAATAAAAGTAGTTTATACAAATTCTTTATGAAAACTGTATAAAAGATTTAGGGTGTCTTGTCACTCTAAACGTGATCTTAGGATCATCTGAAAAAAAGCTAAACAATACAATTGTTTTACGTATACTTTCTTAGAAATATACTAATAAATTGAATATATCTTGGGAACATAAATGTGCCTTGGTAGACAGTACATTTGAAATGTTTTATAAGGTGAAAAAAATTTGCGTCTAATCCATTGCAAATTAAATATGAGGCTGATATTAGAGTTAATAACTACTAGCTTAAGTATATAATATCAGCCATCAATAATTTGAGTTTTATTTAATCATTTCGATAGATTAAACGAATCAAATAAAACTACTATGATATTTAAGCTCATCCAATTATCTGTTTTTGTCAAGAGATAAAACGGAATACGTACAGTGCTGGGGGACTTAAATCTGGCATACTAATGGATGCAGAAGATCGCCGAATAGAACGTGTTCTAAACAAGTTATTGTCTTCATTCGACAATGCTATATCATTGATACTTCCTAAAATAAAAAGTATAAATAGATACACTAAATGCTTCTTGATGTAATATGACCATCTTTACCTAATCTTCTTTTTGCTTTTAGTCTTTGTCTCAATTGTACCAATTTGGTATTATTCTTATCTTCTGGTGATAATTCGGTGGGTATATTTAATTGTGAACGAAGATAAGTTATTTTTCGCTTTTTATTTAATAAACGTTTTCCTAATATAATAAAATTTGGATTATTCTCAAATAACGGTAATAAATCTTCGATAACAGATGATTGATTATTTAAATCATCTGATTGATAAGTATTATGATTCATCAACTTATTTGATGAATCAACATCTGGTAAACGCCTCATTACTACTTGTTGATATTCAGGATTGTATGTTAACATATTATTATCATTGGTTGCATCGTCTATAGCCTGATCAAGAATATGAAGAGCATGCTGTTCATCTGTCCACTCCTGAATTATAAAAAATAAAAGACTATTAATTAAAAACTGACGTCTTATTGATCGAATAATAATCAGAAAAATGTAGAAAGTTTTGATGAAATTTTCTAGGATTCAAATACAAAATTGTTATATCTTAGTTCTTCGTAAATCTCTTTCTCTCTCTCTCTCTCTCTCTATATATATATATATATATATATATATATATATTATTCTTAGATATAGTAGACAGAGAAATAAAAAAAATACCTGAATCATTCACACAATACAATTGTGAAAAAATTACAGTACATGTAATAGATAAACAGACATTTTTACTTTTATTTTTAGTTTCTGACATTTCTTATGTTCTAATGTAGACAGCTGATGCCTTCCACTTTCTCTATTATCCAAGGTTACGTTTTTACTGACGTAATCCAGTTTCTATAAGAAGAAAAAAAGCTTAAGAAGAAGAAGAAAAAAAAAAATTAGAAAAACAAATTGAATGAATATTTAAAAATATGAATATTTTTGGTAGTAGAAAAAGACGAAATTGTTTACATACAACAACAATCATCCGAACATCTGTCGCATAATGAAGAGTGATCATGTAGATATGCAAATTATTTCAAGTGAACATAAAAAGTCATACTCACTACTGATGCAAAAAGGGAATCATTTTCTTTTTAAGCAACATCAAAGAATTCATTCTATTTACTAACGTCAATATTATAGGAGACTAAAATTGTTCACACTGATTTCAAAGAAATATAACATACGTATTAAAAATTTGAAATATTGCCTTTTTAACAATTATTTCTAAGAATATCTTATAGTAACTTTTTATATAAAAAAGAAAAAAAAAATTAAACATAAATATTAACATTGATTGAGCATACACATGACATTATTGTTCGAGAATAAATATGATCAACTTATTTTTCTTTTTTTTTTTTCTCCAATCTTTAACAAAAAAATGTAAGAGTATTTTTAACAATAATGATCAAATTGAAAATTTGCATAAGTATCAATAAAGGATTATACGAAACCTCAAAGTCATTTACTATGCAACAAATACATGCGAAGGGCTTCGTTTATTAAACATACATCTAACATGTTTAAAACCGAATAATATCTACTTATTTTATGATTATAAAAAAAAAAATAATCATTTTCAACTTCTCTTATTGAAACCATAAAAGTTTTGTCAATAACTTTTATCTAAATGATCGTAAGATTTTAATTTAAATAGTGAAACTGAAAAATATTAATTGTTTATTTACCATTAATGAATTAGATTCGTATGTGTCGGTTGTTTTCTTTCTTCCATTTATTCTATTTTTGAAAGATGCTCGACATTTAATATCGGCAGTCATCATTCAAATGATTACCTGAAAATAGATCGAAGAGGTAGGCAAATGATCACGCAAAAGAAAAATCAAACATATGACAACAAAAATATCCGTCCACACTCTGTACTGTATTTTAATGTAAAACTTACATCAGTTAACCTTTTGATTTTCTTTTCGAAAAGATGTTTATAGATACTTATATTTATCATTTTTTCATAGGTTATCAATGACTGCAAGTTCACGCATCACGAAGAAATCTACATTTTTCCATGATTTAGATACAGTTATATTTGTATTACTCTATTGTAAAAGTACAAGTGAAACTGGAGAATAGATTTACTACATATTGATTAAAAGCATCTAGAGAACTTTTTTTGGTTTTCACTTTCAAATTTTATCGTAACTAACTTCTCAAATCTCTTTGATCGAATGAAATATATCTATAAACTGTTAACATTTTTCAGTTCTTTTAAAGAAATAATTTTTCCAGATGTTTACGTTAGCATGCTTGATAATTATGAGCAAAACTGCACCATATCACTGGATCGACAAATTTTAAAAGCTTGTTCGGTCAAAACCGATTGTGGATTCGTCTTCTCCATGGCTGATTATGTGGTACGCGATAACTTCTGGATCGGGGTACTTTAGAAAAAATTTTCGACATCGTTTTGCCTTTGGTCCCGTCCCATACGGTAACATTTTGAAAAATTTTTGAGCAAGATCATGGGAAATTTTTTTTCTAAAGTACCCCGATCCAAAAGTTATTGCGTACCACATAATCAACCATGGAGAAGACGAATTTGCAATCGGTTTCGACCGAACAAGCTTGAAATTTTCCGGTGATATGGTCCATGTATATCCTCTTCTCTCAATTAAGTGCCACTCAGCAACAACTTGAAGCATACATTGAACTGGATCAAATAACGATTTTTTGTGCTTTTAAGAAAGTTTTTCAATCAAATAGGTCATTTTAAACTGGTAAAGATTAAAGAACAAGGGAAAAACAAGAAAAAAAAATGTTAATATATCAGCTCAAATTACCATTGCAAGTGTTTTACTTCTCCAACTAGTAGTCATAGCTCTTATTCGCTGCTCTGCTACGAACTCATCACAGGAACGATCAATTCAATTAATTGCTGTAACACAAGTTTTGCATTGAAAAGTTCTATCTCTTTTGAATTCTTCTGCCAATTTTTGACTTACCAGCTTCATAAGCCATAAATGCATAGATGCATCACTGATAGAACACCTCTCATTGGACAAAGGATGATGACGTAGGGGATGCGTATACTTCGAAGTATGATGACATGATGGTTGCGTATGCTTTTCCTTTATAACAGATAACGTTCTACGGAGGATCATGGTTTTTCAAAATTGAAGACATGGCTTCACTATTCTCTTGCTATAAACTTTGTCGTTTAACTTTTCAGAACTTGTTTAACTTTTGGAAGCCTTGAATTATTTTTTTATTTCTAAGTAAAAAAGTCTTACGAATTTGACGGTGACAAAACTCTTGAATTTAGTTTAAAAGTGAGTTATGAGCGATTGATTGAACAGAAGATTTTCCATACATTCTCTCTATATGGATACAAGAGCCACGTGTTCTATATATGAATGTCTTATTTTTGTTTGTCGTTTTTTAAACAAAAGCAAAAGGACAACCCTTGCGTGCTTATGTAGGGTCTCAGTTAAGTCAGTTGTTTCCTTAGTGCAGTAAGAAAGCCATTCTGCTTTTATTGTAGTTGATATCTGCTTTTTTCGATCTCTACAAGTGGAATTATTGAAAAAAATTAACTAATTTACAACGTAAGTAAGATACACGTAACTCAAAGGTTAAGTACCTTCTCCTTTTACATTAAAAGACACATATTCTGATAGAACTCGGCGCGCTGATTCCGAACATCACCTTATTTTTTCGATTTGATGGAGTTTCATCGAGAAAAATGCAAAATACTGAAAAGGCTACTGACAAACCCCAAAACTTGAATGTTTCGAATAAAGTTCGTTTTTTCGGCTTGTGAGTGGTCGGATCAACTTCTAATACTTTTCACAAAGTTGCGCATGTAAAAATGCATTAGAAAATACCTTTTAAAAGGTATTTTCTAATGCATTTTTACATGCGCAA